GTACCTACAATGTAATATTTATTTAAATCAAGTCTTATCTGAATTCAGACCTGATATATATACAATTGCTATTGTGTAAATGTCATATACGAGACAGTATTCAATTGTAGAACATGTACGTAAAAACTTTACATCAATAAATTTAATGTTTTATTGTGATGGAATGAAAACAGACATATCCTGATAAAAATTTAATATTTGCAGTAAAAATGACATTACAATAATTATAATTCAATGTACACAATTGTGAATATACTAAAATGCATAAAAGTTAGCATTTTAACACAATCACATCAATCATTATCATTTCGAAACACGTTTCCCAGGGATACAAAAGTGCATAAATCGTGATGTTCGCAGAGTTTCGATGAGTGGTACATAAATCATGATGTTCGCAGAGTTTCTATGAGTACACTTCACACCTCCCAAGATGAAGCCAATGAATAAAACATTTTTTTATGACACCACGTGTAGGAACTTACATCCCACACAAGTATAGAAAGCTGGCATTAGGCAATGTATCTGGGTCATGTACATCCATTTACCATTCACACACTAATTTACAAGTAACTGTACTGACACACCAGACAACATAAATCACACTGATATACAGACTTATATACTGGCATATAGCAGCCAGTGTGTACAACATGAAATATTTACAATAACTAAATGATGCATGTGTAATACTGTAAAATACTTTATTTTAGTTGGAATTAATTTTCGCTCAATAAACTTTTTGGGTGTTTTGTATGGAATTTCTTTTCACTGATTTTTGATGAGTTGAATGTAAAATATACTAGTAAAAATGATATATTTGCTGTAATAGCGAAAATTAATTAAAGTGAAAATAAAGTATTTTACAGTAATTCATGTATACTATATAATATAAATATATGGTTGTAAAACTCTTGAAACATTTTAACGAAATTCAACAAATTCCCAGACTGCATGGCTTTGACAAAAAATAAGTTCAAATCCTTTCGAAGTAAGGATGATCAAATTGTATAGTGGGTTGAGCCTACCACACAAAATTAAAAACAAATGTACTGTAGTATAACTGGTCTAAACAAGTATTTTACATGTGCTATATGAATAAGGTGTTCAGATTAAATAAGTATACTCTGAGTACTGTGAAATACTTTATTTTAGCTGGAATTAATTTTCGCTGAAAAGTCTTTGGGCGTTTTGTATGGAATTTAATTTCACTGATTTTTGACGAGTTGAATGTAACATATAGGAAAAAATGTATATTCGTTGCTGGATTTTATTTTCACTGAATAATCCCTTCAGCGAAAATAACGTAAATAAATTGCACACAAATATTAAGTATTTCACAGAATATGTATGAGATAATAATCAGCTACAGTGGGCAATCAATTCACAACTCTACCAGTATGGTTAATGAACACACGTACACACTATTACAATGTGTCATGAACACCAAGAGCAAAACTGACTTAACTAGCACAGGTGAAGCAGCCATTACAGGTGTCAGTGAGCCAGCCAAGCAGTGCATACTCCCAGGGGGACTAGAGGGAAGTGGCGTTATTACTAATACCCTTTCAAGCTGAACACTGTAACCACACAACCAAGCTTGTCCCAAGGCTAAAACAAATTTCTGAGCATCAAACTTGAGGAGGGAAACAATGCGCAGAAACAACACTTTAAAGTTAAAAAGATGACGGGTGTGTTACAACATGAGAGATGTGACGGCCATTTGATAATTGCGTCTAAAGAGGATTAGAGATACTTTGTCGACTTAAAATAATATAGCATGCTGTTACAAGTTGCATTTCGGTTCAAACAAACTAATAGAAGCTAACAATTTCAGTGATGAACAAACAAGGTGATTAGGGCGCACCAGTCAAACTGCTCATTCCATTACAGGCTTTACCATAGCACCTTTGCATGTACCGCCAGATATTAATTTCCGGTAGTTGCCTTCCAACATTCAATATCACGTTAGAGATGGAAATTCTTTCTGAACTAATACAGCTATACTAATGTACTGTGTTTTTCTGTTAAATCGCTCAGCGATAATACGAATACTGTGAAATACTTTTTGCGTGTTTTGTGTGGAATTTATTTTCAATGATTTTTGACGAGTTGAATGTGAAATATAGGGAAAAAAGTATATTCGAAAATAACGAAAATAAAGTAACAAAATTACATCACTACGTGATGCATGTAATCCCAAGCATGTTTTGTTCACAAATAGTGCATTCCCATTGCATGTGAACTGCCAGGCAGAACACTTTAACATTTCTGTATTTTTAATCACAACTGAAAATATTGAGAATAAAATATTGTTAGAAACCAAACTTGCCTGTTTGAAAAAGTAATAAATCTGTCTAACACTTAAGTAGCCATGTGGCAATTACACTTCAAGTCACAAAGTGTCATGGATTTGTTATTATTATAAATTCATACCTCACTCAAATTGCGATCTTAATTGTACAATTAATCAAAAAAAGAGCGACAAGTAAGAATTTAATCAATCATAAAAAATATAATACTTTATTTTGAGGAGAATGCCACATAATGTAGGTGAACTGGTGTGTATCATCAGAGTTAATTATAATATTACACTGGCATACAGCAATCACTCACCAGCTTTAAAGACACCAGAATCCACATGAAATCATAACTGAATTCAATAACGGAATCCTAATGCAATTACGAATACATTTCTGTTTGCAGCAAATATTACCAACATAATATCATTGCATTTCGTTAAAGAGAATTAGATTATTTCAACAACAATGGATGGCCTAACTAATTCAACACGACTTGAATTGCACTAGACTGCCAGCAGAAAGGCAGGCTTTGTTCACTGGCATCTAATCGTAATTACAGCCTCTATCAAGGGAAGGGTTTGATGGAGTTTCATTATAACGAAGACTATTCCTAGTTTGTTTGTCTGCCTGCCTCTATATGTTAGCTGACAATACATCTACAGTGTTCGCCACAAATTAAATTTATAGGATGGAGCACAATTTGCATATATTTTGCATAAAATTTGCATATTATTTTGCATACAATTTGCATATTATACTGCATATGATGTAAACAAATCCTGAATAAGATGAAAACACTTTTTTAAATGCCAAACTGAAATCCACTATAGACGTACTACATATATATTGCTGATTTAAATAAATAAATAAACTGAAACCCTTCACAATACAAATTTTCAACTGACCCATTGACATACACATACATTCATTGTATAGTTCAAATGGGGGTCAAAATGTGCCAAAACAACCGCTATTTATTCAAATAAGTAAACGTTCTCATGATTAGTTTTCCCATCAGCAATGCATGATGTATTTTACGCATTTTCTACAAAAAATGTCTACCTCAAATATAAAGGATGATACTTGTGATGGACCATGCATTATTTC